ATTTGTTCAATGTGATTTTTAAATTGTCGGTAGATATTCAATGTAGTCCTTTAATTTGCTCAAACGACAAATCAGAATTTATTTGATGATGTGGATTGTTATATACTTAGTTGAATTTTTAAAAAAGATGAGTTAGCATGTCTATCCTTTTATTTATCTACATTAAAAAAAGGAAAGAAACAAATTAGGTAATCAAATATTCCACGTGAAAATATTTGTTTTCTTGATTTGAGATGAATATCTTACGTGGACAATCCACGTATAACTTTTTTTTTTGTCCACCATTCAAATTTAATTGATTCGAAGCCACAATAGATTCCGGTAACTTGAATTAACGGAAGGATGACATTAAAAAATTTCATATAGTTTAAAGGCTAGGTTGAACATTCACCGATAGTTCATGGACCACATAAAACAAATTAATAGTTTAGGGACGACATTGTATATTGTACCAAAGTACGAGGACTACATTAAACAAATTAAAAGTTTGGGAATGACATTACACATTGAATCAAAGTTCATGGACCATCTGTGTAATTTTTCTTCTTTTTTACCTAAAGAATAAACTTTTTGTCATGCGTGTCCTTTCTTTTCAAAAAGGACGAATAACCAAAGTGAGAGTGTCACAATTGACTTCTTAAATCAAATTCGAGCAACCTATTGAATCATCGCTTGTCTAAAAATCTTAAGCCGTGGTTGGTGTCTGGTTTGGCTAGTTAACACAAATTCATGTTCATTAGGGCACACATGCACATATGAATGCATGCAAGTAGTTAGAACTTATTCGTCCCTGTGCTGACCTAAAAAATACTTGTCCAAGCTCCCTCATGTTTGAAAAAAATAAGGAAAAAAGTCACAAAAAATCCCAAACTTTATCCACTGTGACACATTTACCCTAAACTTTTTCTTATGACATAAAAAACTTTAAACATATACATGTGTGACACATTTACCATTTGTTAAGTTCCGTTAGATGATTTTTCAGCCAAAATAATGTCGTTTTTATTTCCCTTAAGTCACGTGGGTGCCATGTCAACATAGTTTGCTTTCTGGCGTCCATGTAGGCAGATTTTTAATGGTGCTCATTGACAGAACCTTGACGGAGAATAAATGTGTCACATAGGTACAAGTTTGGAATTTTTTGTATCGTAGAAAAAAGTTAAGAGTAAATGTGTCACTGTGTATATAGTTTGGGGTTTATGATGGCTTTTTCCCAAAAAATAATTAGTGTCCTATAAAGAATCGACTGGGCATGGGGCAGCTAGACTCTAGAATGAAACTGCTTACCTAAGGGTACGCTTTATTTTGCAAAAAATGAATGATTCGGAAAACATTCTTTGAAAATTTATCGCTTGTATTACTTAAAAAGATTGAACGGATGAAAAAAAAATTCCATCGTCCGCGAAAACGTCTAGACATAAATTGTCGTCAATAGTGAAAGCATCTTTCATTGACTAACGATTTCAAACGATACAAGCGATTATTTTTAGGAAAATATTTTCCAAATCATTCATTTCTCACAAAACAAACAAAGCCTAAACCCCTCACTTTTGTCCCGAGTCAATGAAACTCGGGCGGGGACTCGTGGCCCCCCTGTTAATCATGCCGTAGCAAATAGAAGTTATATATAAGAACGTTATCTCTTCAAGAGAGAGAGAGAGAGAGAGAGAGAGAGAGAGAGAGAGAGAGAGAGAGAGAGAGAGAGAGAGGTGCCTTGGTGTTGGAGCTAGGTCACAAATGGACCCCTAGGTCAAGCAAAATCCAAAGAGGGTTGAAAACAACCACTCCTCAAACACATTCGTTTTCTCCAATGTAATCTTGCGGCTTACGTCTCTGTCGCCGTATCTCTCTGCTAATCTCCCCTCATCCGGAGTATGCCAATCCCCCCCAAGTGTGACTCTGGAGACACCAACGTAGCACGCCTCTTCATCGTATAAAATAAGCCCTTCCACTCAGATCACATCGTCACCACCCAAATTATCTGGTCACTAAGCTTGTAATTATCTCTGGTCAACCAAATTCTATCCTTTTTATCAGTATGTGATGAGACTGACGTTCAAACACACGCCAGAGCTCTCTCGCGTGTGGTGCAGATTGCTGCTAATAACCACTTAAATTCTTGTCTTCACTCCGAGGATATATGCAAGGGCAACCAAACCAATCAGTGCAAATACTTGGAGATCATCCTCTGTAGCGAGGATAGAGTGTTTGGAACATGTTTAGCTTCTTCTGAAGATTTGGTATCTCAAAGCATCTCCTGAAAAGACATTTCGCCAACGTGAACTGAATGAAGCTTTTCAATAATCTTAGATAAGACAAGGCAAGGTATAAACACTAGCTAAGAGGAGAGGAGAGGATGAGATAAACTGGAGGAAAGAGGACCCAAAAACATTCGACGCACAAAACATAAATAAATCTTCGTCAGTCGGTTGTAGTTGGCGATCCATTGTGAACTAAAGGATTGCGACCCTCCTAATTTAGAGTATGAAAGTACAAATTGAAGACCATCTAAGGCCAGACGACCTCCGAATCTTGAACCTTCGAGTGTATGGACCGTAACTCGAACTCTATATATGTATCAAGCTAGAACCCTAGTTTTGCATCTCTGGGCACCACCTAACTCGCTCACTTGTTCTGGTATAGCATTGCATGAAAGGAAAGCCTCACAACATCATTGTGCGGCTCTTTGCCAATATTTTGTTCCATCTCTTCATTTGAGCCTACACATCTGTTCACTGAGGTAATTAAAAAAAATCTAGATGACAGATTATAAAATCTATTCATTCCTTTTCACTGCGTGTTGTGTTGAAAATCTTCAATTTTACTGCTTTTTTTCTTGGAAATATTTTATTTTCTTGACCTTCTCTCCCTGTTTTGATGGTAGTAGGAAGCATTAAGGACGGATGGGGACTGAAGGGAGGCTGTCCCTGTCCATTAGCCTGCACAAAACATTATGTTTTTTTGGCAAGACTAAGGTCTGAGATTGCTTGCCCCATGCATGGAGATCTCTCTACCCATCTCCTTTTCATTTATCTCATTTATCCTCAATATTTCATATTATATTTACATCACCACGATAATTATTACTCTAGTGAGGACACATGAGAATTACTCAACAATGGTCAGATCACCAAGATCTCAACCTACTGATGCAAACATAAGCATAAGGTTATTGAGATGCATATAGTGGACTTTGATATGACAAATGACTTTATGACAATGAGGCAACACATTGATCAAGATGTGTTCAATTAATAGGGTTCGGTCACAGCGCTAGAGAATGAAAATTTCACCATATAGGAATTGAAATGCGAATCAGATCAGAAGTTCTTTCCAAAACCCTATTCCTACGAATTAATAAAACGATTTCCATGCACTCCAAACCATGATAAAGTTTCACAAATCCAAACTTCGTAGATAATGGACTACATTCTCCTGTCTCCAATCTAATCTCTCTGGCTTGATCATTATAACATAAACTTCCGGAAAAACTTCAAATACGGATCTTTCTTCTCAAGATTCATCGGTATCAGATCGCCAGTACTGCCAACCTTTCCAAGACCATTAAACTCACAGTCCGTGTAATCAATTAACACAGTCCAAGCGTGATGATAATACCTTGATCTATAGGTTTCCTTTCTTTGCTCGTCTGCCATACCTAGCTATAGGAGAGAGCTGTGTGTGGCTCTCAATGGAATTTCTTTGGCAGTGGGTCACCTTGTGATTCGGAGACCTGATCTGCATGAAGCCAAGTTGTGGAAACGAAAACGCGAAAGTAGAGAGAGAGAAACGCATTGATTGATTTTTTATCAGTTAGTGTGGGGACTATAGGGCCAAATAGAAGCATGTGATCATGGGCAGGAGGGGTTAAAACCAAATATATCTGAAGATCATAGTGAGAGCAAGATGTTACATGTTACATATTCTTTTTTTTATAAATTTACAAAGAGCCATGAAAAAAATTGGGCATTGAATTGGTGGGGATGGAACAGTAGAGATAGGATTTTGTCATAATGGGGCCTGAGTAGTAGCATTCTACACCTCCTTTATATTTGTCTTTCTCTACATCCTTTGTTTCATTGGGTGACATGAAGTCACGTGAATGCTTTCAGGCCCGCTTCTTAATTACCAAAAAATCCTAAATCTATTGCGATTGTGTCAATTCAGTCCATCTGGCCAATTTTGACGGGAAATCGCTAACATGTATGCTGGCCGTCTTACCTGGCGTGGCCGGCACTGAAGCCTGACATGGACATTTTTAAATAATATTTAATACTTTTTCGAATTATTTATTTATTTATTTTACTTTTCCTTTTTTTCTTTTCTTTTCTTTCTCTTTCTTGTTTTTCTTCCTTTCTTCCTTTAGCCAGTCACCGGACCTCAGCGACGACCAACGAGGTCGACCTCGCTAGCCACTAGCAAGGCTCGCCATCGCCAGGCTAGTGAGGTCAAGCCTCGCCAGTGACTAGGCAAGGCTCATCCTCGCCAGATCCGATGAGGTCAAGCCTCGCTAGTGGCTGGCAAGGTCAACCTCACTGGCACTGGCTAGAGGAAGAAGGGAAGAAAGAAAAAGAGAAAGAAAAAAGAAATGAAAAGAATAAAAAATTTGAGAAATTATTAAAATACTATTTAAAAATGTCAACGTTAGCGCCGGCCGTGCCACATAAGATGGCCGGCATCCATATCAGCGATTTCCGATCAAAATTGGCCGGATTGACTGAATTGGTACAAATGCAAAAGATTAAGATTAAATTGACAAAAAAAAATTAGAACTGAATTGACACAATTGTAATAAATTTAGGACTATTATGATATTTCTTCTCGAAACTCAACATAACATGTGACATAAGCATTGCACAATATAATCCCTCCCTCGACCATATAACACCTTTTACCGTATATAAATTTGAGGGCATTTTTATAGAGATTCAACTTTCTACATCCCTCAGTATACACTTTGCTGCTGGGATACAAAGGTCATCAAGTGATACATCTCTCTCTCTCTCTCTCTCTCTCTCTCTCTCTCTCTCTCTCTCTCTCTCTCTCTCTCTCTCTCTCTCTCTCTCTCTCTCTCTCATGAATCCTGTATACCTGAACCCTCCTCAAGCTCCTTCCTTTCCTCTTTTGGAGCGGCAAGAAGATCAGACCTTGCAGTTCTTCATTTCACCTCATCAAGAACCGCCATCGTCGCCATCTTCTTCCTCTATGCTATGTGCTTCTTTTCCAAGCAGAACTGAAGATCAAAGTTACGGTCCATGTGGAAGATCAGAAACTCCTGCGGAAAAGGCAAGCAGTACTCTCAGTACTTCCATATTCAATTCAAGTTTTCAGGATTCTTCATTTACTTTTGAACAGCAAGTCAATATATAAAACCGATCCATGTAACTGTGATCATCTTTTATTCGATTACACGTATTAGTTCATGATCAGCTTGTGTGTTATGTTCCTATATTTGTGATCCCTGAATTTTACTGTTTCGTTGAGCTTACAAAGCAAATGAAGAATCACATATACGACAAGGGATTCATCTTCTTTAATAATATTGTTCTTCTTTATATTAGTTTATTTTGATCTATATAGTAATTAACTGGTACGCATCAGCTGGTTAATCCTTCCTTCTGTACCAATCCATACACCATGAAATATATAATCACTTAAACCTATGCTTTCTTCATTTCCCAATCCTTTTTTTTTTGTTGAATTACTCCTTTTATTAAGTTCATGATCTCTTTCGTAACTTTTAGGCCGACCGACATGGCGGATCCAAACACACGCGGCTCTTCCCATCTTCGTCTTTGCTCCAGCCGACGGTTAGCAAAAGCGAAACTAGCGATCAAGGACGACAAAAGTCTTTTTCCTTCAATGGTGAAAATGGGGAGGAGGTCAACAGAGATTTTGGCATCAAATGGATGCCTTTGAAAATGAGGTTCATGCAGAAGATGAAGAACAAAATATATAGCAATGGATCTACAGAAGATGAGAGTATGCAAGTTGTGGACGAGTCTGCAAAGAACCATCATCGACGAGATCGTACAGAGATTAGGTTTTCGAGCAACGGTAATAATGCCATAAGAGTGTGTGCGGATTGCAACACAACCACGACCCCTCTTTGGAGGAGTGGCCCTAGAGGCCCCAAGGTTATTGTTCTTTCCCCCTTCACACACCAATTTGCAATCACATGATTACATGTTTTATGGCCAAATTTGTTAGCCAAACAAGTAGAGATTTGTCACATCCATGCTTGTTATATTACTCGGTGTGGTTGGATTAAAGGCGTCACAGTAAAGTTTCATTTCTATAATACATGATCGAATGAATGTCTACATATGTACGGATCAATTGAAGTCAAATTTCAGGTAGTTTGTTTCGAGTGCAGGTAACCTCCATTTAGTAGTCTTATATCCAATAAATTCAGGGAATTCTGGACTATGTTAATCGTCCTAGCTAAGACATTGCTTATGAAACATGTTAGACGTTGCCTCCTTGCTATTAATTTAACACTTTTTATTAGTTGGATTTAATTAAAACTTATATGAGATACAAATACACATTATACATTGAGAATAGATAACTTCATCATGTGATTACTTTAGTATCTCAGAGAAGAGAAGTCATTTTTTTATACTGTTTCGCTAGTGCAGTCTCTTTGCAATGCATGCGGGATTCGCCAGAGGAAGGCAAGACGAGCCATGGAAGAAGCTGCTGCAGCAGCCACCACTGGGGGGGCAGTGGTTGCAACAACCGATCCAACCTCAGTGCGGATGAAGGGGCACAACAAGGAAAAGAAATCGCGGGCAAGTCACGCTGGACAAATATGCAAGAAACAAAGTAAGCAATTCGCCAACCAAGCCGATTCTTCCTCTCACGGCGAAAAGAAGCTCTTTTTGGGGGATTTCGCCCGAGGGTTGAGCAAAAGTTCAGCTTTTCTACGAGCATTTCCACAAGATGAAGCCGAAGCTGCAATACTACTGATGGAATTATCTTGTGGCTTTGTTCACGGTTAACTTCTGCATTTATTACTAGATATGTCTTGTTTCTTGATGAATTTGTTTGGTTGTGTTGCTGTTATGTCTCTTATAGACATTGAGAAGGAAAAGGAGAAGAGAGAGAGAGAGAGAGAGAGAGAGAGAGAGAGAGAGAGAGAGAGATTCCCAGCATTGCAAGGCAGAAATAGTTTTGTTTATTTGAGTTTACGAGATTGAAATAATGAATACGCACTATTCCAATGATTGAATAATACATGCAATTTCTATAGTTATTTGAGTTTATATTAAGAAATTGAGCGTTAATGCAAGTTTCTTTACACTTTTTTGAAACCCTTTTTTCTTCCAATAGGAAGAAGCAAATTAAGCTCTTGTCAAGATGCTAGCAGAAGTCCTTCTAATATTCGATCTTGCCATATGAATGTATTGTGCAGTGCGTAAGATCCTTGTTTAAACCAATGTTTAGATTACTCGCAAGAAAATTTGGCATCATAAAATTATTATTCTCAATTCGACAGTCAACAAGACAGACGCGGGATCCGATGATTTTGAAGATTGTGGTCCGATATTTTTTTTCTTCCTTATTTTGAAAATCTCTAGAACTTTAGATGCTATTTTGAATGTTTGGGGATATGATTCATTTTCTTAAGTAATTACCTAAATAGGTCAAAAGTTATGTCATTAGAATTTTGGTGCTTTGTCTTTGCTCATGAGTTTCCTAGTCTAGGCACTAGGGTTTCCACAAATATAAAAATTTTGAAAATTGAGCTTTGTCTCTATTCTTGCTTTTCATCCTCCTGCAACATGAGTGGATTTTTGGCAAGATCTACGTTCATGTATCTTCGTTTTAACCAAGTCAATTGGTATCAAAGTAAGTTTGCCAGTCGTAAGATCAAATCCGAGGCAACACACGTACGAAAGCTTGGACACAGCATGTGGCAACAAGGTTTTTCTTCGAAATCGTGAGGCTTCACGAGCTTCCAAATCCATACATTTGATCGTGACACCGAGTACCTCTGTCTGTTTCTGATAGAACGATGATGGCGTTCTTCTGGGTCGACTCAGAATCATAGTAGCACGATACATTGACAAAAGACTGAGGTTGTTTAGGCTGAACCTCGGGGAATTTGATTCGAAGTATTCGTGGAGACAAGCAGAAGAAGTAGGAATTTGCTGTGGTTCAGGCAATAATGTTCGCGCATGCTACTGCAGTTCATTCAGCGATAGTAAACCTTTCACCTTCGCTTCCTAAACATTTTTGTGGTCATGCATATTGCCCGGATGAGGAGATGTTATGTCTTGAAGTTGGACCCAACTCAAGAGTGAGTTTTTCCCCAGCGGAGGTGTTTGGTGCGGACGTTGTTGCTAATGACTTTATAGAGAGATCGAACGAGCAGGAATTGATGGGGCGAGCCACGAACCAAAATTCGCGTGCTCTTCAGTCAACGAGCCATTTTTTTTCTCATCAAGGGGAGTTGCGAAACTAGAACTAATCCGAATCACGTTTGAAGTTGTTTCCCGCCTTAAAATCCACCGGTTCATGAGTTTTAGGATCATGTTCTATTTTTGGCCTACTTAATTAATTATTGCCAGACCATTTGCTTTTACTTGTGAATTTTGGATTCTCTTATCAATTAGGGCTAATTACGAACTGTTTAGGGTTTTGTTTTGAGCGATTGAGAAATTTCTCGATTTTTGAGCAAGTTTGCATGTTTTAAGGTGAGATGGTAAATAGAATTAGAAATTTGTTTGGCGTGAATTGGGATTGAAGAGACATATTCTTCTACAAAGCGAATTTTGTTTAAAAAAAAGTCCGGCTCGATATTTCCCTTCAAGAGATATTTTTCTCCAATATTTTTCTTCCATTAGCCCATAGCAGAAAATCTTTGGATGAAAAAAAATTGGGTTAAATGGATTGCCCTTATTCAAATGAAGGTATCATTGTTTTTTGTCAGAAAAAGATAAACAAATGAAAAATAAGATTTTATAATAGTATTTATTCTACTTTAAAACGAAAAAGTAAAAATAATTAATTAAGCTCATGCACAGTACAAGCTGATTTAGTGTGTTGGGGAGGTGTAGCATATATTCAATACATTCACCCGGGGAAATTTTCAAGAGAGAGCCTAAGTCAGAATTTCGTCAACATATTTAGTTGAACACCTTCACTTAAAAATTCAAACCAATGAATTATAAGCCAATTTAAATATATTAATTGCTCTATCTTACATTACATCCATGACGTGAAACTTTTTTTCTATCGAACACTCCCTCTCCCTCACGTGTGAGTCTCTTGCATTAAGGCCGCCTCCTCTTGATCCGGGTGTTCTTTCTACACTAACATTATCACAACTCGAGTATCCATCTTAGCCCAACCAACTTTTGGCAAATGTTGGCAAAAGTTGTCGTGGACAACATCAACCCTTCGAACTCCACCTCAATAGCCTTGGCACGGCTAAGCTTTATCGGAAGTGGGGAAACACCTCACCTGCCTCAATTAAGGAGTTACGTCCGAGATTCCATCCTTAAGATATTCATCATACACCAATCAACAAAAATCGGGTCGGGCCCACCCCTAAATTATCAAGAGATCAATGAAATGGAGCACAAATTTGAATCGGGGGAAGAACAGCAGAAGTGCCAAAAGTTATATACGAAGCTCACTTTGGTGCCAAAAGTTTCAAACGGATCACTTAAGTGTCAAAAGTTGTGAAAAACGATCACTTAAGTGTCACATCGCCGGAAATCCGACGTGGCATTTTTTTATTAATTTCTCAAGCTGATGTGGCTCGCCGGAGGCTGATGTGGCATTTCTTTTTTTTTTCTTTTCTTTCTTTTTTCCTTTCTTTTCTTTTTTTTCTTTTCTTTCTTCTTATTTCCGATGGCCGGCGTCCGCCCACCTGCCACGGCAGGCCTCGCCGGGCGTCGCCTTCCTCTAGGCGAGGGCCGGCGAGGCCGCCGTGGCCTCGGCGAGGGCCGGCCTCGCCGGATCCGGCAAGGCGAGCCCTCGCCGGGGCTCGCCCCGCCCGGGCGAGGGACGCCTCGGCGAGGCCGCCGTGGCCTTGGCGAGGGCTCACCTCGCCGGGGCTCGCCTCGCCGGATCCAGCCGAGGCCGGCCCTCGCCGAGGCCACGGCGACCTCGCCGACCCTCGCCCGGAGGAAGGCGACGCCTCGGCGAGGCCGCCGTGGCCTTGGCCAGGCTCGCCTGTCCGAGGCGAGGGTCGACCTCACCCGGGCGGGGCGAGCCTCGGCGAGGCTCGCCTCGCCGAGATCCGGCGAGGCCGGCCCTCGCCGAGGCCACGGCGGCCTCGCCGGCCCTCGCACGGAGGAAGGCGACGCCCGGCGAGGCCGGCCCTGGCCGGTGGCTGGCCTCCGGCCACCGGCCATGGTAGAAGAAGAAGAAGAAGAAAGAAAAGAAAAAAGAAAAGAAAGAAAAAAAATCAAAAAAATTATTTAAAAAATTGAATTATACACGTGGAAATGCCACGTGTCATTAAAATTTAAATATAAAAGCCACGTATTAAATTTGGTTGGAATTTCTCGCCGTTGACACTTAAGTAATCGTTTTTTCTCCGATTTGGTACTTAAGTGATCGCCGGCGTAAACTTTTGGTACTTAAGTGATCCGTTTTAAACTTTTGGCACCAAAGTGAGCTCCATACACAACTTTTGGCACTTCTGCTGTTCTTCCCCCAATTTGAATCTGACAACTCATGTAATTTAACCCACATTCACTCAAAAAATTTAAACTAATGAGTTATGTACCGATTAGGACATATTAACTACTCAATCTTACATCGCATCCCTTATGCATATTTCTTTCGCTTAACATCCTCACAAGCACACCTCAATATGGAGGAGCACATCATAGTATCATTCGACGAAGGACTAGAATATCCGAAAGATATTCCTTTTTCAGCCTGTAATAACAAAAAAACCAAATTTCCAAAATAATTAACACTCCGGTATCAACCTCCGACGAAATTCATTCCGCAAATGAATTAAACCAAACCATAATGCTCATTTCCCCCCCTCTTTTTGCGTTTGGAGAGGTGTGATCTATGTGCCCCACGTTGCATTGGTTTCATCCTTTAAATATTGTTCCCTTTTGCGTTAGATATCTGGCAACAATCTTTTGGATTTTAGTGGTGGAATCACCTGTTGTTTACAATGTTACTCAGAAGCTCCTTTCTGAAAAGTCAACTAGAAGTTTAATATATATACCAACTCACGAGGAAAATTAGCACATCTTGAGGAGTCTTTTAACTCTCACGACATCATTTTCACGTTCTTTTGGCTAAACGGTAAGTGATTATTGATAAGAGTGCACAATATACAAAGGAAATGTATAATAATTTGTGGACAAATATTAATATTTTAAGATTTGAAGTCCGTTTAGGAAGGTCGTTGTTGGATAAAATAGATTGATATCGAGACGTGTGACATGTTAAATAAAATCATTAGCTTACTCATTTGTCCAAAGATTCGATGTTTGTAAAATTAGCAATTAAGGACATTGTGGAAAGAAAATAGAAATTGAGATCTCCTAAAAAGTAGGAAGTCTTCTTTACTTTATACAATAGTATAGATAGAAAAAAGAACATGGAGATTCTAGGACCAATTTAGAAAGTTGGTTTAGAGAGTAATTTTGCCAAGCTCCTCTTGGTGCGTGCACCTCACTTCCAATACTCAACTGCAATTTGTTACTTCACATATTAAATTAATTTCGTAAATGTTTTTTACTATTCTTGGTATTTCTACTACAAATGAAACAGAGTTAGAGGAAGATATCGACATCAAACTTTTGTACAAGAGTTCTAAATGAAGGGCAACTGATTAATTTTTGTATGATGGATTCATCATACTTGGGATTATTTTGAAGATTCACCTCCTCTTTTCTAGATGTTTCTTGGGGGAGTGAACCACTAATCTTTAGAATAATGTAAGGGTGGTGAACCACTTATATCTAGAATGAATTAAGGGGGTGAACCACTAATTTCTAAGAAGAACAAGGGGAGGTAAACCACAATCTTAAAAATGAACAAGGGGAGTGAACCACTAATCCTTAGATTTACCTCCTCTTCTGTGTTTGTGTGCTTGGCACCCATTTTAGTGTGTGTAAGTTCTCCCAACCAATATCATAGAGAGCGCTTCTATTTAAAGATTGTGTTTTCTTCGATTTTGCTCCTGATCTTTCTCAACAATTGATATCGGAGTTTTTACTGTGTGCACCCAACAAATTAAATTATTTATCTTTCATATTCTAAATTTGGATTTAAATATTCCGCATCCCATAAATATACAAATCTATTATCTCGAATAATAAAATCTAAAAAAAAGTCTCTTACTTTATACATCTTAAACATATTTTCACATTTTTTCTGCTACATGTTTGTGTATTTTATTTGTCTAGCTAGTTCCTAGAAAAGTCTAATAAAAATACTAAAAGTCCCTCCTCATTTTTCACTCAAAAATCACTTTGCATCTCCTATTTTAAAATTCCTAATTTGCAATGTCGAGCTACTAGATGAAATGACTAAATTACCCTTAAGTATTTTGAATAAAAAAGAATTTTAATCCTTAAAAAGTGCCTACCTCACTCGACCACCATATGCAGCTGGTGGCCACTACACCTCCACCTCCAAGCTCCAACCACTATTGTCCGCATTGCTACGTCCCTCCCTCCTCTCTCGAGAGAGAGCTTGGGCTATTGCCGAGGGTTGGAATGGAGGAGGTGAGTAACCCAAAGGCCACGATGGTGGCCGGCAACACAAAGGAACTAGTGATGGTCAAGCTAAGGTTAGGATCAAGACTTTGTGAATAAGGGTTTCTCGGTAGATGGAGGCAAAAAGCATTAAGGGTAGTTTTGAAAAGTAAATGGTAATTTTACTTACAAGGCTATAATAGTAAGTGTAAAAATGAACTGCACCTTCCAAATTGAAGGTTTCATATGTGATGCAAGGTTTGATGTAAGGTGAAGATGGTCTTTTGTGGTTATTTGCAACGTTTCGACTTTCATAGATAGGATCTAAAATAGAACAATTAATCTAGGGCGGCGCTATTTTCATCCCTTATATGACTAAATTCACCCAATTTATACTACAAAGACAAAATCGCTCTTGATTATTCAATTGCAGTTTAAAGTGATGGGTCTATTCCTTTTTTTTCTATATTTTCTATTTCTGTTCAAGATCTAGTTGCCATAATTAAGCATTTTCACATTTTTTTTAGTGTACTAACAATTTTTTTAGTGTATTCTTAGATAATCCTATAACGTTTTGCATGCTCTGTGTAAAAGTATCTCGCAATTGTGAGGAAAAAAGAAAAATTCTTTGATATAGTAAAAAAAATTAAAAGTCACTTCTTCATCATTGCTCTTATATCAATTTATCCATTGTTTGTCCCTCTTATCTCAAAAGCTCACTTTCTTGGTGAATTTTAATTTTTTAATTTCATTAGTCTAAAATATATATATCAAGTCTCTTTGTTTACTATATTACAATTTTTTTTTATCTTTTTTTCTTACTTTTGGCGAGATATTTCTACACAGAGCATGTAAGACATTACAAGAATAACTAGGAATACACAATAATGAAAACATTATGCACGATGAAGCATCTTGATATTGTTCCATAAACACTTCATAAATGGTATAAATTTTTGTCAATCCAAAATAATGAAATTTCATTGGCATATCCAAAAGAAAATTTTTATTTCATGCTCTATTTTGATTTAATTAAATTTCATCTTTTCAAGTTTCATGTTAGAGGATGTTCATGTGATCTTATTTTGGAGTATCTGCAAAGAGGGTTTTTTTTTCCTTCATCCAATCATCTCATTATATATGTGTGTATATAAAAGAAAACCAGTGAAAAGGTGTTTGATGGTGATATGCACAACAAAAGTGAAAATTTATAAACAACTGATCGTGTTAAAAAATGTCTATGTTAAATTTTTTTTTTCTAGATTATACTTGACACTTATTTATAAATTCGCTCAACAAAGTAGAAACGAACTAGGTTTCTTGGAAATTTCTCTTTTCAACAAAACTAATTTTTATGGAAGTAAAATCTAACAATAAAAAAACAGTGCCTTTAATAAACATGGGATACCTACGATAAACAAAAACTAAACATGTGAAATTCTTAATTATAATAACTAAGATCCTGCATATAAATAGAAAAACTAAATAAAAAAGAGAAGTAATTAAATTCGGGGTCACCATATTAAATTGCAATTTAATGATTGAGGGCAATTTTATATTTTTAATGAAAATTGGGTGGATTTAGTCATGTAGGGAGTGGAACTATCGTCTTTTTTTTTGGTTATTGCCAAAGTTGATGTGAGCAGTTGGATCCTATGATACAGTTGCATAATTCAACGGTCGATGATTTGACACATCCTGGGTTTTATGGTACGCTGAAAGCACACGAGTATTGCCCTCCAGAATGAGGACAGGAAGTCCGAGTCAGCAGCAGCTCCCATGTACATGCGGGCGATGATGTCGGCCACAGACATTTCACGGAAGATAAGCTTTTAGGACCAGAATATCCCAAATAAAATAATATAAATTCGATACTTTTCTTGGTCAAAATGCAAAAAAAAACAAGCACAATATTATAATTGTAAAACAAGAAAATCTGGGGGAAAAAACCCATCAAACGAAACAAATCAGGCGAAAAAAGGCAAAAATAAAAAATAAAAAAACCAGTTTTTTGGTCGGATAAAAAATAAAAAAAACCAGTTGATATGCCCACCGTTTTCACAAAATCCTTCCTGAAAGCTAACCCATAGATAGGGTTCCTCTGTGGTGCTGATATGTGTGTGAGGCGAGGCTGGGGATAAGCCGAATGTGTAAGAGAATCTGCCAACGAAGGTTGCTGAGATTGTCCCAGCAAAAAAAGAAGCTTTTGAGGCATTTTCCTGGCCAGAGAAAAAGAGGGGAGAAATTTTGGTTGCGTCCCACGTTCTTGAAATGGCTTGGAAAGCATTTTGATCCACCGAAACTCAATCTGCTCTCGCTTCAACGTCTTCCATTCATTTTGTTTATCTCGTTGCATGTAAATAATATCCTTAAAAACTGTCCTTTTCTTGCCCCCCGTTGGGTGTGCCCAGTCACCAACCCACCTTCTCATTGCCACCACCAGATCTTGGAAAATATAACTTCTTGAATTTTCTTTTAAATTATTGTTCTTATTTATACTTCATTGATTACATGGCAGTCACCCATATTTTCTTCAAAAACCAGCATACACCAACCAGCCTAGCACCCCCCCCCCCCCCCCCCAATTCAGCCATGGAATGACGAGAAGGACGGCAGCTTGAAAGCATTCGTGCACAACCCCATTTTGATTCGTTCAGCTGAACGTAAACCCAGTTGCTTCGTTCTCATTTCCATTTCAAATTTGCGGAGAACATGGAACGTGCAAGGCGGTTGGCGAACCGGGCAATCCTCAGACGCCTGGTTTCCGAATCGAAGCAATACCGGCACGACGAATCTTTGTTAAGCTCTTCGTCACCTGTAATATTCACCCCTTCGAGGTATGTCTCGTCATTGGTTCCTCATGGTTCAATGTCCAGGAGTTCTAGATCAGATATGTTGGTGGGTAGGCACGTCTCATCCAGTGGTACTAGTTATGGTGGTGTTGGGTCTCAAGCTAGATCAATTTCTGTTGAGGCATTGAAACCGAATGACACCTTCCCTCGCCGCCACAATTCAGCGACACCCGAGGAGAAAGCGAAAATGGCAGAGTTCTGTGGGTTCAATAATGTTGATTCTCTCATTGATGCTACTGTGCCTAAATCGATCCGTTTGGATTCAATGACGTTTTCTAAGTTTGATGAAGGGCTTACCGAGAGTCAAATGATTGCGCACATGAAGAATTTGGAGTCGAAAAATAAAATTTTTAAGTCATATATTGGGATGGGGTACTATAACACCTTTGTTCCTCCTGTTATATTGAGGAACATTATGGAGAATCCGGCTTGGTACACGCAGTACACGCCTTACCAAGCTGAGATATCTCAAGGGCGGCTAGAGTCCTTGCTTAACTTCCAGACATTGATCACAGACCTCACTGGATTACCAATGTCGAATGCTTCATTGCTTGATGAGGCGACTGCTGCTGCAGAAGCAATGGCTATGTGTAATAACATTCTAAAGGGAAAGAAGAAAACTTTTATCATTGCCAGCAACTGTCACCCCCAAACAATTGATATTTGTAAGACAAGGGCTGATGGGTTCGACCTCAGAGTAGTTACTGCCGATCTGAAGGACATCGACTACAAGTCAGGAGATGTTTGTGGCGTTCTGGTTCAGTACCCTGGTACTGAAGGAGAAGTGTTGGACTATGCAGAGTTTGTGAAGAATGCGCACGCTCATGGGGTTAAAGTGGTTATGGCGAGCGACCTGTTAGCTCTGACCATGTTAAAGCCTCCTGGTGAATTTGGGGCTGATATTGTTGTGGGTTCAGCCCAAAGATTTGGTGTACCAATGGGATATGGAGGTCCTCATGCTGCATTTTTGGCTACTTCTCAAGAGTACAAGAGACTGATGCCAGGAAGGATTATAGGTGTTAGTGTTGATTCTTCTGGAAAACCTGCTCTGCGTATGGCGATGCAAACTAGAGAGCAACATATCCGCAGAGACAAGGCTACTAGCAACATATGTACTGCTCAGGTATGATATCTTTGACACCGTAGAATGTCTGTGCTCTTGCTCTTGAATCTTACAGTGGAGCTTTTGAGTTTAAGGAAATAATAAAAAGTTTGTTTGTCTAAGATTTATTGCAAGGCTTGCTGGGTAGCTTGCAGTTTTGGTTTCAGATGCACAGCTTAAAGAGCGGCTCTTTTTTATGAAGTTAACTTTGCCTTCTCTGATTAATTTTCATTCTGTCTAGGCATTGCTTGCAAACATGGCTGCTATGTATGCTGTTTATCATGGTCCCGAAGGCCTCAAGATCATTGCTCAGCGAGTCCATGGTTTAGCAGGAGCATTCGCTCTAGGTCTAAAGAAACTTGGGGTGGAAGTTCAGGAGCTTCCTTTCTTTGACACTGTGAAGATTAAGTGTGCTGATGCCAATGCAATTGCTGATGCTGCTTACAAGAATGAGATCAATTTGAGGATTGTAGATAAGCACACTGTGAGTATCTTTCCTTTGCTGCAACCTTCCAGAGAAATATGCTGTACTTCCCTGCAAGATTTGATTGGAGTTCCGTCGTATTTCAGATTACTGTTGCATTTGATGAGACCACCACCTTGGATGATGTTGATAAGCTTTTCAAAGTTTTTGCTTGCGGCAAGCCTGTGAGTAATTTGTCAAACTTTTGTTCTGACAGCTGAATAGGTCAAGTTATTTTTCTTTCTTTTCGTCTTGATTATTCCTCATTTCCTTATCCACATTTTCTCGCAGGTCCCCTTTAGCACTGCATCTCTTGCACCAGAGGTTCAGACTGCAGTCCCATCCGGGCTGATCCGAGAGAGTCCTATCCTGACCCATCCGATTTTTAACACGTATGAACATTTTCATGTAGTATGCACAACTTGTGGCTAGTGACTTTAAGCCGTTCTGACTGTTATATCTTCTCTACATTAGGTACCACACAGAGCATGAGTTGCTTAGATATATGCACAGATTACAATCAAAGGATCTCTCCCTGTGCCACAGTATGATTCCATTGGGATCTTGTACAATGAAATTGAATGCTACCACTGAGATGATGCCGGTGACTTGGCCTGGATTCACTGACATTCACCCTTTTGCCCCGACTGAGCAAGCTCAAGGTTATCAGGTACTTATCATGTAAATACATTAGTCAGGCAGAAGTTTACAGCGTTCTCAAAATGTATTGATTCTCTTTCCAAAAATTCATTGCAATTCATTTTTTTGTTTTCTTAAGGAAATGTTCACAGATTTAGGTGACCTGCTCTGTGCCATCACTGGGTTTGATTCTTTCTCCTTGCAACCTAATGCTGGTGCTGCCGGAGAGTACGCAGGGCTCATGGTCATCCGTGCATATCACATGGTATTGTCTCATCCATCACTGTGCTGGTTTCTTCTTCATTGTCAAGCAGATTGCGGATGCCAGCCTTGAAATAATTAATTATGACTAGGAGAATTATTCTTGAATAAGGTGAAACTTTTCCTATTGCCCCCTTTGAACTCTCTTTACCAGTATAAGAGTCGTTTACATGTTCTATCTCAGACATGCTTTGACCTAGAGCTTAAGCCTTAAAGTTATTAACATGCATTGTTGGCCGGTGATTGATATTACAAATTTAAGTTTAGGGGACTCTCTTTTCTTCAATTCTAGTCAAGGACAGAGAATCAGTTTGATTTCTGGGAAAAAATGCTGGTTCTTTGATATGGTGAAAACTTTATTGAAGGCATTTAGCTAATCTTTTTGAAATATCATTTTCCTTAGACTGAGCCTGTGAGATTCTCCAAACTGTTCTACTAAAGTTAATGCTCATCAGCTTTTGGAGTAGCAGACATACTTTGCTGCCATATATAGGGGAACACATACAGGGCAACCTGAGGCTAAAGATATTTTTTAAAAGTGCCCGAGGATTATATTCTCTGCCTTTTAATCTCAGCTTATGCATATTCTTCCAACCTTCAGACGTGCCCCTTCGAATTATTCCTTTCGCAAACAATAAGGCTTATTTATATGCAGATTGAGCTTATATCAAGGTGCTAAATGGATGTTGCAGGCAAGAGGCGACCATCACCGTGATGTGTGTATTATACCTGTCTCAGCTCATGGGACAAATCCAGCAAGTGCTGCGATGTGCGGCATGAAAATAGTTGCTGTAGGAACCGATGCCAAGGGCAATATCAACATTGAAGAGTTGAGGAAGGCTGCTGAAGCAAATAGGGATAACTTGTCAGCCCTCATGGTGAGGATTTTTCATGCGAAATGAAACTTCTCTTCTTTTTGTTCTTTTCTGTAATCATCAAATGGTTCATCCGGTGACCTTATTTTTAATGCAAGTGGTTTTTTAAAAATTCAGGTTACTTATCCTTCCACTCATGGTGTGTATGAGGAAGGCATTGATGAGATATGTAAAATTATTCATGACAATGGAGGTCAAGTGTACATGGATGGGGCTAACATGAACGCACAGGTGCTTTCTCTTCTTTTTACATAACTTAAAATTTTCATGGTCGACAGTTTGCTCTCCTTTTATGCGTTTATCGTCTCCCAATAATTTCCAGGCTTAGGGATGGAAGCTTCTCTCTTTGTGCATATGCTTTCTCTCCCTTTTAGCTGTTGGCATCATTCATAATGCACTCTCTCAAATTCTAGACAAATGCTTGCAGGTGGGTTTGACAAACCCCGGGTTTATTGGAGCTGATGTTTGCCATCTCAACCTGCACAAGACATTCTGCATTCCTCATGGAGGTGGTGGTCCTGGGATGGGCCCTATTGGCGTAAAGAAACACCTGGCACCATTTTTGCCTTCACATCCTGTTGTAGGTTTCTGTTTGGATACTCAATTTTAGTATCCCACTCAAGTGTGTGACGAGGGCCAATTCATATTTGTTTTTTGTCTACCTTTTCATATTTGTAGGTACCAACAGGTGGTATACCCGCCCCAGACCAGACCAACCCGCTTGGCACAATTTCTGCTGCACCATGGGGCTCTGCATTAATCTTACCAATCTCCTACACTTACATTGCCATGATGGGATCTAAGGGTCTTACTGAAGCATCAAAGATTGCTATTTTAAATGCAAACTATATGGCAAAGCGCTTGGAGGTTCCTTCTTCTCCCTTAATTATCTAAATTGACTTCCATATCATTTCATCCTAGGGAAAAAGGTCGATAACAGTGTCTGTTCGTATTAATTATTGTTAATTACCAATTTCATATTCATTTAAGATTTTGTCATTCAGAGCTACTACCCGGTATTGTTCCGTGGAGTCAATGGAACAGTTGCTCATGAGTTCATTGTTGACCTAAGAGGCTTTAAGGTAGTCCTCTGCCCTATGGTTGTTACCATCTATTGCCAGTTTGATTAGTTTTTTCTACATATAACTATTTTTTTTTGTTTCAGAATACTGCTGGAATTGAGCCTGAAGATGTCGCCAAACGTCTTATGGACTATGGATTCCATGCGCCAACCATGTCATGGCCCGTACCTGGCACGCTCATGATTGAACCCACTGAAAGTGAAAGCAAGGTATTTGCAGCGTTAAGTGTTTTTATCGTCTTTGGAAAAGGCTTAGTTAGTGCATAATGCAAATGAATCTTCTCCGTTCTTCAGGCTGAGTTGGACAGATTTTGTGATGCTATGATCTCGATTAGGGAAGAAATTGCAGAGATCGAAAAGGGCAAAGCTGATATCCACAATAATGTCTTGAAGGTGAGATTCTCTTACTTTGCATCAATCTAGGCATATATAATATATACGGCATAAAGCCAGGTCTATCTATCAAAATACACTGAGAATAATACTGTAAGGATGTTCATGAAAATCGAGAAACAGAGCTGAAAAATGAAAAATGCAGGGAGCCCCTCATCCACCATCATTGCTCATGGGAGATGCATGGACCAAGCCATATTCTCGGGACTATGCAGCTTTCCCTGCTTCCTGGCTCCGTACTTCCAAGTTCTGGCCAAGTACAGGTATTTATGGGAATAAAACATTCGTATTTATAGATGATATTTGACATGGTTAAGTAAGTCAGCATTGTCCTCATGAACCATTTTTCGTTGTGATTAGCATGTATCAACTTGCTCACTAGGCAGAATTAAATTTTTACAAGTTGAACAGTCATGACTAAGCAGCAAGAAATGATGAAGTTTGCACTTTTTCCCATTTTCGGTCTCTAAAATGAATGTGCAATGGATAGTCGATGTTGCCAGAGATACTACACATAATAGGGTGCTTTGATGCCATAATCTCTTGCTCATGGACCGTTTGATCCTGTGATGACCCAAAAGTTTCTATAGATTGAACTTCGCCTGTTTATATTTCCTGCCTAGCAGTTTAAACTTACATGCTAAGAAATTTCTCAATCCCCAGGCTAAACTATAGATCTTAATTCAGTTTTTCTTATGTTCATCTTAGCTCTGTAGTTAATACTCCTTGTAGATCACCTTGTGATTAGGACTTGGACAAGATTGGTTTCTAAATGTCAACTCATACTTATAATCAGCATTTTTCCTGCATCTTGTTGTAAGAGATCTTGTTATATATACTGCAGGACGTGTTGACAATGTCTATGGAGACCGCAACCTTGTCTGCACGCTTCTCCCAGCATCACATTACACCGAAGAGCAGGCTGCAGCCACTGCCTAGAAACTCGGCCCTCGTGTGCAGTCCGCAAAATTTCTTTGAAACCCAGAAAAGCCAGGTTGAAAAGGCTAAAAAGCCAGACAAAAAAAAAAGAAAGAAAAGGACTCCTTGTATATAAACTTCTCATGCCCTCATCTGCTTCTACTTCTATTTAGTTGTTATTGATGGCGATGATGATGATGATAATTCGATACATTCTCAATAACAGTCGTTGCTACTTGTAAGTTAAGCTTTCTGCTGTACACGCTCTTCCTCTCTCTAACCCCTATATCGCATTTGGCTGTGTCAATGATCTAAATGTCCATGTAAGCAGATGCAAGAAGAGCAATGAAGTAGAATCTCCTTAGCAGGACCTGGTAGCAATATGATTAAGTTTTCGAGGGCACTAATGGTCATGTTTACTGATATTCAAGCTTAATAAATTACGCATATTTTTTGTCATCCATTATCTGAGCTTGAGTTCTGTAGACGCAGCACATTCTGGGGGAAGAAAAGCTGTTTTCGTCTATCAGCTTAACGGGGAGATTGCCTAAATATTTCTCCTTCTGTAGCCTTTTCTTTTATGGCCCGAAATAGATCTCTTCTATTTGGCCTGAAACCTTTGAATGCATATCCAGGTTCCTATAACATTGGACTTAATGCCAAAGAAAAAGTACAACCCAGAGTCTCTAGAGTGAAGTGCATGAGGGACAGGGATAGCTAGTATTGCACTTCAAGCTCAAAGCCAGTGAGTGGCTCTGGCTGCCTAAGGAAGTTCACTGTCAGAGCAATCACAACGAGAAGTGGCACACTATGAAGCAATTCTCTAATCGTTCTGCATCAGTGTTCTTAAATGCGGATGAAGAGGAATTAAAACGAAAGATAAATTAGAGTTTACCAGGTTCGATGCATGATAAGACCAGTCCGAGAAAAATTAAGCAGACTCTTATCTCTAGAACAATGCTAGGAGTATTACGACTGATCTACAAATTTAATATATTAAGTGATGTGACAGACTCTTATTAAATGTTGAATATAACTCATTTATAATTTGCTACAATGCAAATTTTGTCCGAAGGTCTTAATATCCCCAGCATCACTCGATCTTCTAATAAATATTCCAGTCTATGTTTGGATTACGGCCATTGGTTAAATAGTCCTTATATGCATATTCAATCATTTTAATACCATTCTATTACAAGATCATTTTTCGAGCTCAGTGGAGAAAAAGAAAAGTGAAATTCAGACAACAGGAGTTGGCTGACTTCCATTGGCACAAATTTACCAATAAATTATGAACTTCTCATGCAAAATCCAGCAAGAAATGCATTGCCATCCGGATTAATGTCTCTTGAGTTTTCTTACCAACCGATAAATTGACACACCACCATTAAACTGGCTCAGCTATTTCTCTCCTTGGCTCTTCAAAGGGATCAGAAAAAGAATTTTGATCATCACCACCTTTTGTGAAAATTTTGAGTACCGTTACAACTTTTGCTCGTTCCTTTTCATTATCTACTTGTTCTAGTGAATGTGATGGTCATCGAAAGATGCTAAGGGTGCATTTGGTAATTTGCCAAATAGTGACTAATTCTATTCTTTTGTTCCTGGAAACAAAAAAAGAACAAAAATCCGTTTGCTAAACTTTTTGTTCTTAGGCACAAATTTATTCCCAGAATCAGTTTTGGAATATTTCTTGATTCTGGAAACAAGAATCAGAAATAGAAGAGAAATTTTTTTTTCTTTTTCTTCTTTCCTTCCTGGCTGTGGCCGGTTCTTCTTTCCTAGCCTGTGGCCGGTCGCCGGCCAACCGGCCACGACCGACGACCCAGTCACTGCCCAGAAGGAGAAGAAGAAAAAAAGAAAAAAAAAAGAAATTTTAAAAAAATTATTAAAATTATTAAAATATTATTAATAAAAATAAATTTTGTGCAGTTATCAAGCGTATTTCTGTTCTTTTTCTATTCTAGGAATGGAAATTTTGGGCTGTTACCAAACGCCTTCAAATACTTAAAAATTATTTCTAAGAACAAAATAAAAAAAATTATTTCTGAGCAAAAATTATTTTCAGAAACAGAATGATTAACAAATGCACCGTAATTATGTCACGTCACAGAAGAACACCACCTACAATTCTTATGAATCTCAAATAGATCAAACCCTCAATTTCAAAGAGAGTACTCAAAACACACAGCACACTAAAAATATCTGCACAGAGCAGCTTATCCAAATCTATGACTGTTAGCAAAACAGACACACTGGCACGAATCTGACTTCTGACAGAGTCACCCCAGAGCCATGGCGACCACGCTTCACCTCTCATCAAACCAACCTATACGCCAACCGACCCTCTTCTTTCCCTCCACAAACACACCCACCACACTCATCTCCTTCATCAGAACCTCGAAGCCCTCTCACAGACTCCACCCAAACCAAATCTTCCTCCCAAGAATACCCTCCTCCTCCTTCAGAAATGGCAGCAACACCCCTTCAGGAACAGGGTGCCCTGTTCCATTGGAGCAACAGCCCATCAATGAATACCAAAACCTCTCAACTTCCTTCCCTTTTTCTTGGGCTGCTGGTGACTTTGTTGAGTATTGTTCAAGATTGTTTGTGACGGGTGCTTCTTTCGCACTCTTGGTCGGTTTGCCGGTCGCGTGGCTCGGGGCTCCATCGCCCGAATCTGAGCCGGTGAAGCGGGTTCTGGGTGCGGTTTCAAGTGGGATTGTGGTGGTCACTTTGGCTGTTGTGAGGATGTATCTTGGTTGGGCGTATGTTGGGAATCGCTTGCTCAGTGCCACTGTTGAATGTAAAAGTTGCTCTGTTCTCTCTCCTTTGTATTTCTGTGTCGTGTGAGTAAATTAATGGCCGGAAATTAGGACAAAAATCAGAAGAATTATCAATTGACGGAGACTAATTTATCAGCATGGAAGGTGGTGCTCATTGAACAATGAAAAAGCTGGTATCATTGCTTGAAAGGAGTTGAATCTTTTTATGGTGAATTTGGGTTGTCTTGTTTCTTGGAAATTTGCTGCAAATGAAGTTTTGTGGCTTCCAGCAAGGACAGTTAGATTCTGTTGGGTACTTGTTGGTAGTGCTGCTCAAGATAAATGCGGTGTTCTTGTTTACATTTCTTCTTGTAAATGCGCTTTCTTGGCAGTCATGTGCAGGCGTAGTTAGAGTTGTGTTGACATATTAAATTGGTGAACTAATGGTCTATTTGCCTATTTACACTTTCAGATGAAGAGACCGGGTGGTACGACGGCCAGGTAAATGCCCGTTTTTGATGTAATGCCGATGTCAAGCATTATACTTAATTGTATTGCCATCATGAAATTTTGTTCTTTTCTTTTCTTGAACGGTGTTGTGTTTTAGCCTCCTTCCCTATTTTTCCAATCTTATGATATGCTGAAGGTGCAAATCAGAAGTTCATTCAGGACAAGAAACCTGCTTTAAATGGTTTCTGGACCAACTATGATAAAGTAGCGAGTTATACATGGTATTTGTCTTGGATATTAGTATGTCACAGTTGATATGGAGCGCAATTCTTTGCTGATCAAAGACTTTCTGTTCGAAGAGCTGTGCGTGGTTGGTTCTTTGTTGTTAATCAGGGTCTATTCGCGGAGACCATGACTTTTCCTGCTAATGCTGATAGACTCAAAAGTGTGAAGTGCATTAAGCGATAGTGGCTATCTGCTAATTGGAAATAGAATGCAGAACAAAATAAGAGTTCTTTAGCGTCGTAAATAGCAAAACCGATCAAATCAGCTTATTGTGAGAGATCATTGTGTTTTGGCTCTTTGAGGCGAGAGTGCGGTCACCATGAAGTTGAATTGCCGGTCTAGTTGAAGTCATGACTTCTCAATAGTACATCAGGATCAAATGGAGTTGTTTCTCCATCACCAACTTTCATGTCCAAAATAGCATTGAGTTGATCAAATTTCTGCTTTTTTAACAGATATGGGTGAAAACAGCAGAAGTCTTGGCTCGTGACAGGCTTCTCGGTTCATTTTCGGTGAGTGTTTATACTGACATTCCGCAACTCTCTGGTATTTCTTGCGAATTTTTTAATTTAGTTGCGCACACCTGTGCAACGGTTCAGATTATTCTTATCTCTTAAACTTTTTTGCTTGTCGGGGTTGAGCAAATGTGGGGCTATGGTATCTTTGAATTATCAAATATGTTCATATTCTCTTTTCTGTGTGTATCCAAAGATGCATTTGATCAAAAGAATAACAATAAGCGGATCTTATAATCCGTTAACTTAGAATATGCTGTCATGTTCGATCGCGCAGGTGAAGCCCTTGCTCAGTAAATTGAAGTACACTCTCGTGACACTTGCCGTTAGTTTATTCGCATGCATCTTCCTCCTCATCAACATCGACGAGAGCCAAAAGGCTTCTGACGGGAGCCTCGAAGCGAACAGAGAAAGAGCCATACCGGGAGTTTACAGCGACGAGTCGGCCCGGTCGTTTGAACCAGACGCGTTCTGCGGCGAACTCGGCATTCCATGAAGTGTCGATCGATAAGTGTCATTGTTCTTTTTCCAGCTTACTAGCGGTTAGCTTAAAAGCTGCATTACATAACCTCAGATGTGTGTAGATCATGTATGGGGAACCACGGTCTCTGGTAGCATAGAACTGTACATTGTAGACGCTCTGCTGGAATTTATACATTGTATATACTGTTGCCTCCAAGTATTATCCGGGAAAATGACACAAATTGTCTCTGAACTTTGGTTCAATGTGCAATGTGGTCCCTGAACTTTTAATTTGTTCAATGTGGTCCCTGAACTTTTGATACAGGTTCAATTTAGTCCCTAGGGCTATATGAAATGTTCAATATTATCCCTACATTAAACATTTTTATATAGTTTAGGGATATTTACATTGAATATGTACCAAAAGTCCAATGACCACATTGAACAAATTAAAAGTCCAAGTACCACATTGAATATTAGGCTAAAGTTTAGGGACTACATTAAACAAATTTAAAGTTCGGGGAATATATTGCACATTGAGCTAAAATTCATGAACTATTTATGTCATCACCCCAGTATTATCCTTATACGAAGAGAAATAATGGAGCCAAAGAAAACAGAAGATGCACAACTCCAAGAGCAAACGCAGCTGATGCATGAAAATTTATTCGCGGAAGTGAACAGGGCTTCTTCATTCGATGCTTCATCAGGAATTGAAGGTTTTCCGGCGAGTGATTTCAAACCGATCGAGGTGTCCGTGATTTACCAACAAGTTTCGGGGGTCGCTAATGCTAAAAAAAAAAACAAAACAAAACAAAAGTAACCGACATGAGATTAGTAACACGCTTAAGAAATTATCGTCGGTTATGGTCCTATGGGAAATTACTGATCACGAAAATACAAATTCATGATCGTCCGTCGGATTCGTAGGATTTTGCGGTTAAGACCCGACGCGTCGCCTACCATCCAATTAATTACAAAGTATCAAAGTTATCGAATGGGGTACATTGATCGAAAAAAGTTGTAATCACACAATCGAATGTTCCGACGAGCTTAAGGATGATCGAATAGCCGTCGAAAGCACGTGATGAGAGGATATGACTCGTGCACGTTTCGTTTTCCTTGTTGGTCTGCTCCGTAAGATTCAATTCACCAGGTCATTCGCGCACGACATCAACGGGAGGAACGGGACACACGTGACATCAGAAGTGCTCCTCATCAATGGCTGCTTGCTTCCTTCCTTCCTTCCTTCCTTCCTTCTTTCCATGGAAAACGCAGAAGCTTCTCTTCGGGCGGCGCGAAAAGACCGTTCGACTCATCATCATCCTTCTCGTCGCTTTTTCTCCGTTCCAAGTTTCCGACCACAAATTCCCTTGTCCTTCTTCTCCCTCCTCCCGCGCACACGACCAATACATTAACCAATACGAAAGGGGAAAATGACCTGAATAATCCTTGAATTTTGGCTCGATATACAATACGATTTCTAAACTTTTCATTTGTTCAATGTGATTCCTAAATTATAACCCAATGCGTGATGTGATCTCTGAATTTTTTATACACGTTTAATTTAATCCATGAACTATATGAAAATGTTCAATATAGTCCTTGAATGTAGTATTTCCATTAATTCAAGATCAATGACTACATTGAACATTTTCATATAGATCGAGGACTATATTGAACATGTACCAAAAATCCAGCGATCACATTCAACAAATTAAAAGTTTATGAACCATATTGAATATCGGACAAAAGTTTAAAGATCACAGTGAACAAATTAAAAATTTAAAACCACGTTGCGCGTTGGACCAAAACCTAAAGATCATTTGTGTCATTTGTGTCATTATACGTTCCGAGTTCCAACCACAAATTCATTTGTCCTTCTCCCTCCTCCCTCCTGCACACAACCAATACATTAATCTATGCGAAAGAACTGCTGATAGCAGCAGGCGCTAGGGAGCCTGTATAAGTGTGTCCAGAGGGGGCCCCACTTTTTTTTTGATAACTCGGACTCCCACACTGGCTGCATTACAAAAGTCCGACCGATCAGATACTAACCGGGGGAGAATTAGCCAAACCCACGTATTAACCTCTATGTCATTCAAGAATGTGGTAAGGTGAAGGATAGAGAGACTCGAATTTGAGATCATTCACCCGTAATCTCAAAGCCTTATCACTCTCCAAAGAGGGGGCCCCACTTTGGGTGCTGAAATACCAAAAGGAGCCCCGGGTTCATGCACCTTCCCCAACTTCTCTCCTGTCCGTTCCTCTTTCGAGAATTGAATACGGGAGACGTCCTCCATTAATTAAACCCCCAGCTGGTTCCGGATTTTCTTGGAAATTTGGCAAGTTTTGTCCATGGTTTTAATGGGTTGTTGCTCGTCCTTGGTGAAATCTCCTCAAGGTGAGGGACTCGTCCTTTTTCATCTCGTTCTCGGGGGAAGACGTGAACGGCCTCATCATCATCGCCTTTGACGGGCGAGAAGAGTAGCTCACCACCATTTCTTGTAAGCGGTTCTTTTCAAGATTCTTGGGTTTGATTTCATTCTGTGAGGACTTGTGCTAATTCTTTCTGTGCGGTGCTGTGGAATGCGTTTAGCCTTTCCGGGTTTTGATCTGATTGCCGAGATATGGGACGAGTGATGTTAAAGTTTGATTCTTGAACTCTGTCCTTTGCTTGATCAGTATCTTAGAGAGAACAAGAAGTGAGGAGAGTATGGTGACATAACAGAAGAGTAGTGGGTCGTGTTTGTAATTTTTCAGCTAGAAAACTAGAGCCATTTCTTGTGGTCTCGCATTCTTAGTCATGGAGAGTCCGGTTTTGTCGGCCTAGGCTCGTGATTCGCTGGATAAAAATGGTCAAATGCTGCATTTGGAAAAGAAAAAAGCGTTTCACTTCCTTGTCACATTTTGGAATTTCTCAAGCCATGGGGAGTCTTTGCACAGAATTGTAAGTTGCAGTGTTCTTTTAGATAAGATGAGTATATTTCTTGTAGTTAGTGTTGGAACAACCAGTTAGAGCCAGCTGATTGGTACTTCCATTAATGAGAACTTGCGTTCGATCATGGTTGTTTCGTCCTTGGTTGGCAGATTAAAAGAGCTACTTGTTCTATTTACTAGAGGAGATCTTACATGCATTTGTCATTGTAGCGTTGTAGTCAATCCAAGAATTAACTTGTAATGACAATTCAACTCAGAGCAGACATCCATCAACCTTGAGTGTCATTCAGTCTGAAGAGGTTAAGTGGCTTTGCTGGACACAAAAAACTGGGGATATCGATCTGTTTTTGTAGAGTATATCGAACTAGTGTGATGATCTATGCTTCTCTTATGTTGGAAGAACCTTGAGCTACAGCAGAGTGAGGCTCAGCTGATAGGATCTTATTGGAGCCATACTTTGCATCTGAGGTGTTATCTTTTTGAAGAAGCTGGTGGATACAGATACTAAATTACCTAGGCCAACTTCTTGGTGTTGTGATGGTCTGCAGGATCCTTTTCTCTGCAGAAAATATGGCTCAGGTGTTTGCGATGATAATTTTCACTGTCATTTCTCTTCCTATATCCCAAGTCAATCTTTTATACAAGGATAGACTCTTTTCCGAAATTTTTGAGTTTTGGTTGAGATTATCCTTCTAAACACTGAAAACGTATATCTAGGAGTTCATTCCTACTATAAGTTACTCAAGCAAGGAAAAGTGATGCATATGTTCGTCAAGTTTGTTACTGTCAATCTATTTTAGGTTTCATAAGGTTTATATGCTCTGGAAAATGACTCTATAATAGAGGAATACTACAGGCTATTTGCAAGTACATCATGTCTGGTGCTGTTTTCTGACGAAGGGATTTTTTGGTATGGAGACATCAATCCGTCTGCCACATGGGATATATTCTACAACTATGGAGCTCAAAGCCACTTATGATATCGAGAATATGGGTTTGACGCCCGGGATTCGGCATGAACTCTGGCCATTGGATGAAATAGATCCTACAAAGGACAAATTTCCATGCTGTTTAGTTTGGACACCACTACCAGTAGTCTCATGGTTGGCTCCTTTCATTGGACATGTTGGGATTTGTCGGGAAGACGGAGTTATATTAGACTTTGCTGGTTCCAATTTTGTGAATATTGATAGCTTTGCATTTGGCGCAGTGGCCAGGTACCTCCAACTTGACAGAAAACAGGTATACTTTCATTCAGTACTTCAATAAATCTACAAGTGGCCATACTTTGTATTAATAAAATCAAAATTGGCACCATTTTCAAAGTGTTGCCTCGCACAGATATTTACCCTTTTTCATAATGAGCACCAGTTTTGGAGATATGCCTATGTTATTCTCATTTATTAATGCTCCAAAAGTATATTAACTTCATGCTGTCAACTTGAAATCTTAAAACAGTGTTGCTTTCCAGCCAATCTAGCTGAACATACATGTAAGTACGGCTTCAAGCACAGAGAATACGGGGCTGCAGTTACTTGGGACGACGCCTTGCGATCAAGCATGCGCCACTTTGAGCACAAAACCTACAACCTCTTCACCTGCAACTGCCACTCATTTGTCGCCAACTGTTTGAACCGTCTCTGTTATGGCGGATCAATGGAATGGAACATGATAAATGTGGCAACGCTGGTGCTGTTTAAGGGCCAATGGGTCAGTGTAATGTCGATCCTGAGAGCGTTCCTACCTTTCATGTTGGTGCTTTGTTTGGGTTTAGTGCTGGTCGGATGGCCATTCATAATTGGTCTGTTCTCATTCTCTATGCTCCTTATTGGGTGGTTTTTGTTGGGTAACTATTGGCTTAAGTGGTTGATAGACTGTTAATATCATCTATGTTGACCTAGCTTTATAGAGGGAAGAAAAGATATAGGAGATTCAGAGTAAATTTCTCATGTCCGCAGTTAAGGATCATGTGTTGGATGGGTCTTTCTGGTTGTATTGATTATCAGATGACGAGGCCTTGTGAAGAACTGAAACTACTGTATAGTTTGATTTTTACAGCTGAAGCAAAGGTTACCATCTTTTTTCGGAAATTACCCTTGAGTCTTACTTAGGCAACATGATGGGCCTTGGCTTTGAATAGCGGTTAAGATTTGAAAGGAAGAGGGCCTTGAAAATGTGTTCTTGTTAAAAGTCCTGGATCACACAGTATGCAGCAAGCAAAGTCGAAGGTGTGAAAATGCGATATTCGTATTGGCGTGAAAAAGTTTGCTATACTAGAAGATAGATTAACCACCTCATTAACTTGAAGAAACGCTTTCGACAGGAATATGTGAAGATTCCGGCTCGGATTCTTATTTGGCTTCTTCTAAGCCAATATAGCTTACGATCATTTGGTCTACCATTACCGCATGGTTTGGATTCATCTTGTCTCGCTACAATGGCCGGACTCTTATTTGGCTTCTTCTAAGCCAATATAACTTACAATCATTTGGTCTATCATTGGTGTGGATTCATCTTATCTCGCTACAATGGCCATGCCACGGTGAAGTTGAACCATCAACCTAGCAGGCTCATTACGTTTTCTTCTTTGCATTGCATGCAAAATTCTTAACATATCAGGTCTTGGAGACTTGGAAGACGGGAGTGTCGATCACACCTTAAAAAGGATTATTGCTCAGAACTTCTACTAAATCCAGTCGTGCCCATTGAGGTCATATCCAACATGGTTGCACGGAGAAATATTGCAGGTCACATTGAAGAACATCTTTTTTTTTTTTTTTTTGGCAATGAAATAGCACAACATCTTGACTTGCAGAAAACTTTCCCATTTCCATTACTTGGGAAGGAGAAGTCTAAGAACAAATAGACTGAAATTGGAAGGGGAAAAAAAGTCAAATGGAGAGTTTCATCCTCATCTTCTGGCGTACATCTAGATGTAGAAGTCCATCCCATAAAAATGGACTTTCCAGATGATCTATGTTTCATGCCCCATATTTAGGAGCCTTCCAAAGCTTAAACGCGATCTCATGCAGAAACCTGTCCGCAGGTATCACCAAATTGCCGCCATGCTACACAGAACAGGAATAAACTAGACACATCAGGAAATTTGAGAAAGGGTACAACATCTGGAAAATGGTAGTACCCAAGCAAAGTTGACGATAAACTCCATCAAATGAGGTCGAATTTGAAGTTTAGAGGGAAAAAACGCATGCAATTTTTTTCCCAAATTATTTTCTGCCTCTGTCTCATCATCTTTAGCCTTCAGGTTCTTTTAAAACAAACATTCTTGTAGCGAGAACACCAGCATAACCTCCACAAAGTGATTGAATCAGAAAGACTACTAACATATAGTTCTTGATTGTTACCTCCTTAAAGTCCTCAAATGAGAATGCCTCAGCCATATCTCTGCGGGTCACAGCATCCTGCCATTGAGCAATTAGCATGGGGCAATGGTGCCTGTTGATCAAATTTAGGGTTAGAAATGGAGTGTCATAGTGCCTACACCATATACCGCTGCCGAGATGGGACCAATGAAATTGCAGATACCTGACGTCCTCCCTCGGTTTCTCTCCTCTCATAGTATAACTCTGACGAGGGAATAGTCTCACCAGACGAGAGTCTGCATTGTCCTTAGACACCAAGGTCAATAAATGGGAGCAAGCAAATTTTGAGATATCTCCATAGCTCATTACAAGGGACAAGTGCAGGCGGGAACCAATTTCGGATCCAGGTTGAGCAACATGCATTAAACTACCGACCAAAGCATTCACATACTCTATGCCATAGTTAATAACCTTATCTGCCTCCCCATCCCCCTGTTCACCAGCTCCGATATGCACAAATACAAGATCAAAATAGCCCGTATCCATCAACTTCCCCTCTTGGAATCCAAGCAACTTCAGCAATCCACACGAGACAGCATCTATTGGTCCTTCAGCAACGGAGTGCTTTTTGTCTATCAGCTCCTCGAATTGCAAAACATTGATACCGAGCTTGTTGCCAAAAGATCTCAAACTCGGATTGCTTGTCACCATAGCAGCCTTCATCCCCATAAATCTGAAATCAGGAAGGCTACGGCTCATGGTCACCTCTACAACAGTGGTACATACATACTGTCAATCATAGAATCAGTGGGAAAAAGGAGCATCAATCTTGCCTTTCTGAGACTGTTGGGACCAATGCCGTCCCCCGACTCCCCGAATCACAAGTGCTTTCCTCACCCTGAAAATTTCAACGGAAAACAACGCCATCGTGATCATCGGACAAACCGCACTCCTAATACTCACCGAAATTAACCCGCTAAACTCACAGCGATGTAAAAATTACCTTCTGCACACAATAAGCATCGAATGCATCCAGAAGAATGGAGAATTCTCTAACAACTCTGTCATCCTCACTCTCTGCAATCTAAACCCATGTAAAAATTGCAGCAATCATCACAGCGGCAAACCGGCCCAACTCAACAGAAACAGCAGGACAATACGTTTCGTTAAAATGGGAAGCAATCTAATAGTTTTTCCCTCGCCGTCTCGGATGCCCGAGAAAGGAAGTGATCCCTCACCAACTTAATATCTGAGAATCATGATCTAAGCTACAAAGAGACGCACCCAATTCCAGCTAAACCTCTCCACCATGCACGAAACTAGCTGAACAGCAGACCCAGATGCGAAAAATTCGAACTTGTCCCCCGACACGAAAGGAAACACCATCATCTCCAATCAAACGTAGATGAGATTTGTGGGGAGAGAGGGGGGACCTGAGGGAGGCGAATCGGGGAGGCTCAAGAAGCCGCAGCAAGCTTTGGTGGCGAGGGAGTGGAGGTGGGGGATCGGTGCATCTAAGGAAGGAGCAAGGCCGTCGCCGTACACCACCAGAGCTCGGCTCGGCTTGTCCGCCATTGCAGCGTCGGAGAGAGAGAGAGAGAGAGAAGATTTGATCGGTGTTTCAGCAGCAGCGACTTGTGAGGTTGATGCTGGAATGGAACATATGCGGGAGCTTGAAGGCATTTTCTTGTTTTTTCACTTTATTTTTACCATGTTTGCAGAAATTTGGTTTCTTTGACGACGGGGCCATTTGGTCCGGCATTTGAATGTTGCTTTGAGATCTAAAGTCTCTTGAGCAAATATAAAGTTGTTTGGTAAATTTTTTGGTAAACTTTGAGGAAATGCAATTGCATCTCCAAAGCTTGGAAAAGGCCTTTGGCTGAATAGAGTGCATGAGGAGCCTTGGGAAGTTGCATTTTCGGAATGCAACTCGGGTACTGTTCATCGCCATTGTTCATCCTCTTCTCAAGCAGCTGGTCCGGCGACCGGCGACTATCGCCTGAGGGCTAGCACCCCGGTGACTACCGCCTGGGGGTCGCGTGACCCCGGCGACGCCGCCAGGAGTCACGCGACCCCAAGCGGTGATCGTCGAGGTCGCACGACCCCGGCAACGCCGCCTGAGGTCGCGTGATCTCAAGCCAACTCACCTGAGGTCGCGCGACCTCAGGCGAGGTTGGTCGACGGTGGTGGTCGGTTGGCCAGCTTTTTTTTTTTTTTTTTAAAATATCAGCAAAAGTCTTTTACAAATAATTTTTACCAAACGGTATTTAGACCAAAGTTGCTTTCAAATATGATTTTAAAATACGCATTACCAAACACTATTTGCATTTCGAAAAACCATTTTAGCTCAAAGGCCTTTACATTTTGCCAAATACATTTCCCAAAAGCCGAACCAAACAAGCCCGGCATGGGCAATTGGTTTTATGTTTGCTGTAAATTGAAGAAGGGGCTAAATCTCATCTTAAGCTATTGATAAAATATTTTTTACCCTATGATCTGGTATTATAAATTTATTTATAAGACTGATCAATTACGGATGGACAGTATATTATTGGACAATGTGTTGGCTCTTGGAATAAAGGAAAAAGTGCCGAGTCCCGTAAATATAGATAAGAGTGAACCGAAAGATATCCGGTTAAAAGCTTATTTGAGATGCATGTGTGATTTGTATTATATTAGTCTTACATCAGAGAATTGGTTTGTTATAGCGTAATTAATATATCTTTGTTGGCCCACAACTCCAATCGAAGGTAATGGATCCTGTTGAAAAGCTCCCAACAGCTCATTCAATACTCCTTAACCTAATATAACAACTGAGTGCGATGCCCTCACCTAGGGCCTTTGTGGCCCGCAGCCTGGTGAGCTATAGGAAGGACTTGCACCAACGATTCTAGGGAAAATTACCAAAAAAGTCTTAAACCTTTTGCAATTGTGCCAATTCAGTCATAAACCTTTTTTTTTTGTCAATTCAGTCATAAACCTTTTGCAATTGTGCCAATTCAGTTCATCCGGCCACTTTTAGCTGGCCGTCGCTGATGTGGCCGCCGGCCGGCTGACGTAGCGCCGGCCGACGTCCATGCGGCAATATTTTAATATTTTTTTATTATTTTCGAATTTTTTTTCCATTTTTTCTTTTTTTTTTCTTTTCCTTCTCCCCCTGGCCTGTCCGGCCAGGGGGGAGGCTCGCCGGCGAGGGCCCAGCTCCGGCGAGGCGAGTTGGGCCCTCGCCGCCGTTGGGCGAGCTCCGCCTCGCCGGAGCTGGGCGAGGCTCGCCCAGCGGCGGCGAGGGCCCAGCTCGCCATGGCTGGGCGACCCTTTCTACCTTGACATTCAACCATCTTCGTTGAGTCTATCATTGGTCCTGAAATAACTCCCTCAAGGTATTATTTATTTTGACCGATCCTTGGGCATATAAATAGACATTTTTCTAAGAGGCCGCCCATCCTGGTTTTCACGTATATAATCCATGAAACTCTCCCCCTGAATATCATGTAATAATTCATCACTTCCCTCTTCGCTATCTTAAAAACATGCCAGTGCCAGGAGCGGCGACTCCCCACCGTCGAATTAGGTCGTTGGACGTGCATTAATCGTATTCGTATGGTGCGAATGGATGTTTTGAAAATCTACTCTAAGAATGCGTTTGTTTCGCCGAAAACTCAATGATAAAGGAAAATATTTTTCGAAAAAGCATTTTTCAGGAATACTGTTAGTTTTCCTACGTTTTGTGACGTGTGATCGAAAACGTTTTCTGGTGTTTGCATATTATTTGAAAAATAATTTCAATCTCATGATTTTATCTCAAACAAAAAAAAATCAAGTATTTTAATATTTTTTTAAAAAATTGAATTTTTTAATTACTTTTTTTATTCTTTTTCTTTTCTTTTTTGAAAAAACTCGAATATTTTTTTCTTTTTTCTTTTTTCTTTTCTTTCCTTTTCTTTTTCCTCCTACCTCTACCGTGACGGGGCAACAATGGCCACAAGCGAGCCCAACGCTCACCCGGCGACAGCCACAGGCAAGCTCAAGCTCGCTGGCCTCGAGCTCGCCGGGACCTAGCAAGCCTTGAGCTCGCGCAAGGCCAGCTACGACTCGCCGCGAAGTAGAGGCTCGCCCGCGCGAGGCCGGCGAGCTTAAGCTCACCAAATCCCGGCCAACCTCGACCTCGCACCAGCGAGGCTCGCCGAGATCTGGCAAGCATCAAGCTCGCGAGAGGCCAGCGAGGCCTCTCCGCGAAGTCGAGGCTTGCCAACGCGAGGTCGGCGAGCTCGAGCTCGGCAGATCCCGACCAGCCTTGACCTCGCGCTAGCGAGGCTAGTCGAGGCTCGCACAGGGCTAGCGAGTCGCCAGCCCTACCCGTGGCCGGTCACCGACCGTCGCCAAGGCCGGCGACCGACGGAAGGAGAAAGAAGGAAAAAGGAAGAGAAAAGAAAAAAAGAAAGAAAAGAAAAGAAAAAGAAAAGAAGAAACGAAAAGACAAGAAAAAATAAAATATTAACAAAATCAAGATAAGCAATTCCTGAAAGTGTTTTCACCTTCTTAGATTAGAAAATTCACTTTCCTAATTTTATACATAAAAATTTTCCTTGACCGGAAAGTATTTTCAATTGGCTAATCATTTTCCGTGAACCAAACAGGTGAAAATCCGAAAAACGGTTCCAGAAAATCACTTTACCTCAAACAAACACACCCAAGTTAACCATACTAAACAAGTGTTTCGAGTTCTTGTTAACAAGACTCACGGCAGTACCGTGCACCGAAGCCTTCAGGGGATGCCAAAAAACCTACCCTCCAAAGGGAGATACAAAAGGCAAACCTGTCTAGAAAACAGCCATTTGGTGAAAAAGGTAAAACCCCAGTGAGAGAGTCCTAATTTTCTCTTCAAAACACTTCCAAAAATAGATCAATCTGCGGCATTCAAACACCACGTTCGCTACCGCCCCTCCCAGAAGTCTCTTCTTGATTGCAAGTAACAAAACATGCAAAAATAATCCTTACTTCGCTTCTGAAATAGAAGCAGAAGCTCCATTTGTCGGTCCACCTCCAAAAGTCATGGTAGTCTTTACTTTCGGAAACCTCCAATTTGCCAGTCCTGCCGAGCCCCGATCCAACTGTCTGCTATTCAACTGGACAAGTTGAGAAAATGGCAAAAGATGCTCCCTAGAAGTCAGCAATTCATCAGCGACTGCCTTTCTTAAGTTGCCATCACAGCCTGCTTCACCTCAAACCCTGGTACATATGTCCCCCAGTGTCCAGCAAACTCTGCAGAAAATGCGAGTCTGACAAGAGTTCTTCTCGAGCCTAGTTCGACATGAAATTCTCATCGGAGCTCTACCCCGTTGAAATTGTCGGATGTGCAAGATAATGTGTGGTAAACACTTTACTCTTCAACCTCAGTGTTGAAAATAAAACTTGGGAATACAGTGGTGATGTCCCTGAGAGTCATACACAATGGTATATTCCAGAGTAAGTTCTTACAGATCAATTAGAATGGTAAATGCAATTAGTTTTAATTCTTTATTGTGAAAAGGATGTGATGAAAGGGGTTCTTAATTGAGATAGCATGAACTCGTACGGATTGAAAGTAAGGGATTGCATACTTCAGGTAAGGAAGAGTCATATTTTTCAACAGAGAAGGGTTTCGAAGTACGAAGGCTTTCCACTCTTCCTTATTGATCTTACCATCCTTGTCCGCATCTGCATCTGCAAATGTCTGCAAAGGGCATGAACACCAATAATATATAGAGAAATGATTTTACGATATGGTATACCAAGTAATATGTTATCGTGTTATTGGCTGTTGAAGATGACCCCTTATTTGAATGTCCGCCCACGCCTCACATCACTCGGTACACCAACTTTGTAGACCAATTTTACTGTACCTCATATTGCTCTAAGAATTATACTACACAAAAGAGGGAACAAATTTTTAGACCCTGCACTTACCCGATCAAGTATAGCATCAAGAAGTTCATCTGATAGTCTCATGTCAGATTCCATCAAAATGGCAAGAACCATTTGCCTAACCTGACATTCGCATAAGCTAGTGAGCGTTCTAGTGGATTCTCTTAACATCAAAATTTGATAATTTGCACAGAAAACTCACTTCCTCTCGCTCAATGTACCCAGTCTGCCGTAGATCATACAGCCTGAATGCAACTGCAATAAAAGGACCGTTCATCAGAAAAATAACAATCCACCTGCACTAAATTGATTCGGCAAACAATTCCCAAGCCTTACAGCTTATTTTCTCTTCTACAGGGGCATAGGGATGGAAGACACTGAGAGCACGGACAAATTCTTCAAATTCTATGACACCATTTTTCTTCTCGTCGAACAGATCAAAAACCTAAATGCAAAAGCATAAAAGTGAAGTTATCAGCAAATTATTATGAAACCATTTGCGAATGAAGCCATCACAGTGCAGTTCCACCACAAATCTAAAACAAAGAAAAGCATGGGTTCCCTTAGAAACCAACCACATGAGAGAGAGAGAGAGAGAGAGAGAGAGAGAGAGAGAGAGAGAGAGAGAGAGGTGCCGAGCCTGAAGATAATGCAAGATGTCTCTTAGACACACGGCATTTTCTATATACTAATTCGTTACATATCCACAAGAACATGAAGAAACAATTTGCATTAGCATTCTTCACAAAGGAGTCAGCAGCGTTATATTGTTCAATCAAATGGCTCTTCTGACTTTTGGAAAAGAATAAAACACCAGGGAGGAACCAAATAAGTATTTGGCCAAAACAAGTGACTGTCCCTCCACATTGTTATTTAAGGGATTTTCAGAACACACAACAGAAAATCTCCCGGAGCTACAGAGGCATACACATAATTCACCCATCCGATTTTAATGAGATGTGCAGATCTCAGAGATGAAATGGAACAAGACAGAAACTTTCCTCACGTGATCAATGTGTAACATGCCCCTGTCCCCCCAAAGTATGGACCCAAAAATGCTATCAGATTATCAACCAGATGTCCTTACATTGCCATAATCCATGAAGAAATCAATCGATCCATCTTGTGTGAAAAATTATACGGAGCAATGTACAGATGAAGGAGATGCTTTACCCGATCTAGGAAAAGATTCTCTCCCGTAGGAGTGCGGAGTAGCGCCAATTGAAGCTCTTCCTGCATGAAGACAGTCATTAAGTGACCAAGGCAAGACCAGATCCCATCACCAGCTACGTAGCTGGCAAGCTCAGCCAGTTTCTCACAATATTCCGCTTGGTATTCGACACAACATACTCGGTGGAAATGAGCATATATCCAACTGCCTAACCTTACCAAGTATTAAGATGAATCACCAGCTACTGGCACATCAAAGTAAATATCAACCACGTAACAGAGGAAATTTACCGTCAACCAACTGGTATGTGATTTGGATTCCGTTCAAACTACCTTGTGAATTAGGCCGTCGTCAATAATTGAACTGCTCAATTTCTTGTACAGCTCGAACAGCGCTTCGACTTCATTGCTCGTGACTGCAAACCCACGAAGTCAAATCAGAAAACAAAAGTGAAGATCCTCTCCTAAACCTCCGATGACCAAAAAAATACGCCATAAGCGTTCCAAGCGACCCAAACCAACCAAATCGGCGAAGCCTAAAGACATAATCGACTCTCATTTTCAGGACTGCTCAACAAACAAAAAAATTTCGAATTTCCAGCAAAATTCAACTGATCATCCTGCTCCTCCGCATGCTCTAATAGCATTCCTTCATTTATTAGAACGAAGAGGGTACAACTGTACAAGTATTCATTCACACCGAATTCTCTCCGTCCAGCTTTAAACAACAGCAGCGGCAGCAGCAGCACGGTAATAAAAGAAAAAGCACTCACATCTCGTCTCCCTGGCGAGGCGATTGACATCGCCGAACCGGTAGCGGCGCTTCTTGCGCCTCGGCCGGTTCTCGCAGCAGCTGCCGACGCCGAAGGCGAGAATCTCCACTATGGACACGAGCGGTATGCACGCGGCGCAGATCCGCTCGCCGATCGTCAGGGAGCTCGATCTCTGCGCCCAAAAAAAGAAGAAGAAGAAGAAGAAGAAAACACGGAGGATTAAACCACCGCCCGCGAAAAAGCACACGCTCGTCGACCGGAAGAAAAACGGCATCACCGACGAAGCGGAAACGGGAGTCGTTTCCAGGTTTCCCGGAACCGGAGCTCCGATCGGAGCCCGCCCGTCCGTCCGCCGCCGCGCCGCAGCGCGCGGGGGCGTGGGGGGTCGCGACGTACCGACGAGTCGTTGGCGGTTCTTCTGGCCTCCATCCGCCGCTGCGGAGGAGAATCATCAGCTAGCTAGAGAGAGAGAGAGAGAGGAGGAGGGGGCTCGTCGCGAAGATATTTTTCTCCCTCTTCTTCTTCTTCTCGAGTTCCGCGGTACGGAGGACGGATGGATGGATGGATGATAGAGGACAAGGTGACGTCCCGCGGCACAAACATGACCCGACATCGTAACGCCCCCCACAAATAATTGCACCAACGTTTTACCTTAAAACAGGAAAGAGATGTCACGTGCTGATCACGTGACCATTCGACGGCCTAACATTTAGATTGGACCAAGTTCTCGGTTCATGAGCGATAGGTAATCGCTTATATCGCTTGCAAAAATGAATAAATGAAAAATATTTTCTTAGTTCTCTAAAATGTTCTAGAAAAAACCCTACTCGCTACTCTCATTGTGCCTCCTCGCCTAGAGAGTTAGCTTCTTCGCTTCGTTGCCCAGGGAAATTTGTTTTGTCCATGGTCATTGTTGGTCTCGCTCGTCCAAGCCGAGCTACTACACCTTCCATAATCTCCGTCGTCGCTTGCGGTCATGGAGGAGTGCCGTCGCCAGCTCCAAATCTGGAATTTTGCAGACTCCACATATGGAGTCGCCAGTGTAGTCGTTCAGGCTCACACGTCCAAGCCGAGCCCTCTCCGTTGTCACTCATGGCCGACCATGGACGACCCGCCATCTGGAAGTTCGCAGGCCAGATCTGGAGGCATAACTCTAGAGTTGGACCAGCGACTCGTCCAAGCTGGGCTACTCCTCCATTGTCCAGACTCGCCAAATCTGTGGACGAGCTGCCTCACGAGCCATGGACAATGCCAAATCTGGACGAGCAATGAGTAGGACGACCACGAGCAACACCAGAAGGAGTGGCTCGGCTTGGAAGCACGAGAGGTGCTCCGCCAGTGGCGATGGTGGAGGGAGCTACCGGTTCCATTTACTCACCCGAGAACCGGACCAATCGGTCCGGTCCGGTTCGGTCTAGTTCAAGGACTAGATAGTCCGGTTCCCTATTTTCGGATGGGAACCAGACTATCCGGAAACAGATCATCCCCAGTATCGAGTAACAATTCGTACATCGTTTTTGGTTATTTGGAAAGTGGGACATTTAATAATCATACATCTTGGGATGCAGAAGGGCACGTATCGTGGTTCTCTTTAAAGTACTTACAAAAAAAAGAATAGTTCGGCATTACGGCAATAAAATCATAAAATGATATTATCATGATTTTACATCAATTAAATTATAAATAAAAAAATGTTTATATATTATAACAGGACTATGTAAATTACATTGTTTTATAGAAAACCCATGTCTGATAATAGGTATTGTTGCTGGCTCGTGACATCTGATGTGAAATCACAAGAATGCAATTTTATTTGTGTGAATATGAAACAAAAAATAATAATATTGGGTGCATTTGAATTATAGCTCTCTACGCATGTTACCTTATAAATGTTTCGGGAAACGACATTCATCATCATGCTTGTTCACGCTCAAGTGAAAGCAAAAACAAGCGTTTGCTTCCCTTCAAAATTTAAAAAAAATTTCAAATTTCAAACGATAATGATTAAATAAAACGAATTACGTGTCAACATTTGAACATCATAGTGCCTAAGCCGCTAGATTCAAATTAAATAAAATGTAAAAGTCTATCCAAATGGGCTCAATATATCTTTGCCTAAATATAATACGGCTGGTGCTTTATACTTGTATAATTTTGGTATACTCCAAAAGGACAAATGTTCCTCTCTATGTTTAGCAAACAAGCGAGAAACGGAAGTTTAATTGAAAATCACGTACATAAGGCTATATTGCATAAAAAAATACGAGTAACTTACCGACAGAGCGAGTTACATACAAACGTAATCGAATAATTAACTTATGCATCTTTAAATGGCTTTCTATACATTTCAAATATAACGAATAAGGGTTCTATATTTTCGAATTCTGCAATTGCTTGAGAATTGGATTCAAGTTACAAGCTTTTATGTTCTATGGCCGGAAGGAAAGAACAAAGACAAAACCAATTCTAAACCTCTACTTTGATTGTTCAACCAGCCAACTCCTTTTTAAGGGGAAAAAAAAATTCTACTTCCGTGCCAGTATTTTCGCGCTTTTTTTAATCAGATCGTCGTACTTTTAATTTGGCTAATCAAACCCTTATATATTCACAAATTTCTTAATCAAGTCCCTCGTACACTAAATCCGGTCACACCCAAGGCTTCTTTTGTCGCGTAACATGAATATAGTTTTTCCAATGCGGGCGTCCATATTGGCTAAATTTTATCCACGCCATGTTTCGACATTGTCTTCATCGCGAAAAATTTCCACACAAATCCGTCTTTTATCCCGCATGATACTTTCAACGTCATTCGACACCCACGCCAGTTGAGTTCAGTCAAATTTCGCGTCGGAGGGACTTGATTGGAAAACTTAACGAAGTGGGAGGATGTGATAGACAAATCAAATGACATATAGACTTGATTAGAAAAAGCGTGAAATCACAAGTTTCTTCTCCTTTTTTTTGGGGTTAATACCACAAAAAACTCCAAACTGGTACATCTATGATAAATATACCCCAAATCATTTTTTTTACCACGAAAAACCCCAAACTGATACACATGTGACAATTTTATTCCGAACTATTTTTTTGACCATAAAAAACCCTAAACTGGTATACTTGTGACAATTTTATCCCGAACTAATTTTTTGACCACCAAAAACTCCAAACTGGTACACCTGTGACAAATTTACCCTCTGTTAGTTTCCGTTAAATTTTACTGTTAAATTGCTAAGTTTGATGACACGTTGTAATTGACGAGTATACTAATTTGAGGTTTTACCCATCTATTTGTCACAAGTTTATCAATTTGTGATTTTTCGTGATATTAATCTAATTTAACAGACACCAACAGATGATAAATTTGCCACAAATGTACCAGTTTGGAGTTTTTAGTGGTCAAAAAATTAGTTTCGAGTAAAATTGTCACAGGTGTACCAGTTTGGGCTTTTTTGCAGTCAAAAAATTAGGTCGGGGTAAAATTATCACAAGTGTACCAGTTTGGAGTTTTTTGTGATCAAAAAATTAGTTCGGGATAAATTTGTCACAGATACGACAGTTTAGGTTTTTCGTGATATTAATCCTTTTTTTTCGTGATATTAATCCTGTTTTTTAAGGGAGTCACTGACCAGAGCCAGCTGAGCCAAGTGTCTCGTTGCAAGGATAATAAAATTAGGCTAAGATTAATAAATTAGCAATGATTGGCACGTTGAGCTTCGTTTTTATATGTTTTATTTTTTACCAATTGACTTAAAGAAAGATTTAGATTGCATGTGGAAGCAAGGGATTCTTGTCATGCGGCTCCACATGATACCGACGTCGAGGGGACCAAGCCCACTTGGGTTTCCAAATTTTGATGTCATTAGTAACTTAATTTTTTCATAATTCATCAATATATATATAAAGAGCTTATAAATTTCATTTATCAAAGCGGCATAAGACATTTTGATAATTATAATGAAGCTCGCGCATTTAGGTAAAGTGTCGATTGGGATTCATGGTCCCTTGGGAGGACGAATCTTGCCCCCACACCAGCACCAAAGCTAAGGACGCTTATGGTTACTTTTCTCTTCGACGTTATTGACAAAAGGAAGTCGAGTCTTTGTCGACTAGAAACTGCACATGGAATTTGAGGGATGGAGGCTGCACGCGTGAAATAAATCGGGGTAAAACTTGACTTCGATACTTGTTGGTAGAGGCGAGCGCCGGCCCAAGGTAGACCCTAAAACCGGCTATTACCGGTCCAGTTTCCGGTCTTGGGTCCAAAACCAGATCGGACCACACCAAGAAACTCTAATTCTATCCTTTTTAGTTTTACCTTGCATCTTGTATTCTTATTGTTATTTCCTACGCCTCTCGTTTCTCTTTCTCGATCTCTACTCTGCTTTGCCCACTTCTCCGCATTTCCTCGGCACGAATCAACCAATGAAAGCTCACGAGCCTCCTATATACTGGTCTCCCGGCTGTACAAGATGAATTGAAAGCTCAAACCAAAATGATGTGCCGGAGGACAAACATCGCCCGACATTTTCGCGTCCGCAAATAATGCAGCGACTTTTAACCTTAATAAAAGAGGATTTATTATTATTATTATTATTATTTTGTCGTTACGAACGTGTTTGTATCCGACGTGGCCAACGATGCGGAAGCATGTGCGCTTTCGCAAGTCGGAACGACGTCGCTTCTGGCGAATCGATGATTGACGTCCCTATTCGAGTCTTGTAAATCAAAGGACTCATACCTTCCAACGAGAAAAAGAAAATACGTGCGGCCCCAAATTGATAGGGAAAAATTATCTAAAAAGTTCTTAATCTATCGTAAATTTGTCAATTCAGTCAAAAGTCTTTCAATTTTGTCAATTAAGTCCTAAAACTTTTTACATTTTGTCAATTGAGTTCATTTGACCAATTTTAATCGGAAATCACTAACGTAAACGACGGTCATCTCACGTGGTACCGCCAGTGCTAACGTGAATAATTTTTAATTAATTTTTTATAACCTCTTTTTTTTTCCTCTTTTTTTTCATATTCTTCTTCCTCCAATCGCCGGCTATCAAGGAGGCCAACGACCAGTCACAAGGGAGAGCCAGCGAGGCTCGCCCTCGCCGAATCCGGTGAGAGTCGCCTCGCAGGGGTGAGGTCCCCTTACCGATATCTGGCAAGGCCGACCTCGCTGGCCTCGACAGACCAACCTTTGTCGGTTTGGAAAGTGGTGATATATTTGTGTCTCGAGTAAAAAGTAGGTACATCTTCTTTTGGTTATTTGGAAAGTGGGGATATTTAATCGATAAATGGAATTGAAATTATTCGGTTTGGGATGTGGACAATACAGTACCATCATTCTCTTTAACGTACATAAAAAGAATTTCAGATTTATTATGACGGGATCATAAAATGATGTTGTCTGGATTTAATCGGATGTACTATGAACAAAAAGAGTTTATATATATTATAAAAGGACCGTTTCAAATTTTCAATTACACTACTTTACGGGAAACACCGTATCTGATAATTGAATGTTGTTATCAGCTTGTGTTATCTATGAGAAATCACAATAAAA